TCCCTTGCACGCCAGCAGGATGGTGCGGACCATGAGACCCGACGACATCAACCCCCGGACCGGGTTGGTGGTGGCTCTGGTCAGCGTCTTCCTGGTGTTCGGCTTCATGTTCACCGTGTCTGGCATCAAGGGGGAGACCCTGGGGGACATTCCGCTGCTGGCCATCGGACCGGCCATCTGCCTGCCAGGCATCGCCGCCATCGCCCTCACCAGAAAGACCGACGGCTGCACCAAATGGCCCAAGAACAAGTGTCCGTGTTGCAAGCAAGTCAAGGACCGGGATGTCATGGAGCTGCTGAGGACACCCTCAGACCTGGAGTCTGGCAAGGGGAGTTGTGATGAGCTCGCCAAGAAAGCATACCAGAAGGACAGAAGAGTGCTACGGGGCGAGGACTCCGTGTCCATCTGCACCACCACCACCACCACCACCATGGGAGAGTGCAAGAGCCTCATCAGAAAGGTGGAGCAGGAGGAGATGCTGAGATACCTGGAGAGCTGTTACCCAGAGATGCCAGGGAATGTATTTGCGGGAGATGGCTCCACGTGCAGTGCCTTGGAGAAGAAGAGCTCTTCTCCCACCAGGGACGGTGCCACTTGCCCTGACATTGAAGACAACATTTTTATTGCTCCTAAAGACAGTATCATTGTCTGCTCTTACAAGGAGAACAGCCCTTATGACAGATACTGTTGTTACATAAACCCTACTGGAGTTAACTCAGACCAGGAGACCATAGTGTGAAAGATGCATACTTTATATATATGTACGTGTACAAAAACTACAACTTCAACTTCTTGATAGGGGATAATATAGCTGACTGCACTGCATGGGACAATCCTGATACTATTACAATTTAACCTGGTGTGTGACTGATACTCAAACCTTTTGTGCCTGAAATACTCTTTCTGTAAGTAAACAAGCATGTTTAAAGGTTAAAGAATTCAATTCTTCATTTTGGAAAAAAGAAATTGCATTTTAATTTTATTTTCTCCCTTTCCCTCCCTTCTGTTTTCCTGCTGCCTATTGTACTGAAGCCTGTAGACGCACTGGCAGGAGGGCAGCAGTGGCTGTCAGCTGATATCAAGAGCTGAACCAAAACTCTGGAGCTGTCTGTAGGAAAGAATGTGGTGCTCTATGGTTGAACAGATCTTAGCAATAGTGTCACTTCATTTTGGGAGGGATTGAGAGGTGTCAGCATGCACTCCAATAGCTGGCTGATGTTAGGGACTGTAGAAGTGGTTTGTCACTTCCTTCTTCCTGGCAGGATTTTATTTTCTTCTTCTTCAAGGAATTGATGTGCTGACCCTGTGTGCTCTTCTGAAAGTCTCCTAGGAGCCAGATAGGCTCAGGGGACTGTTCAAAGGTTCAAATCCATCATCAATAGCATGCAAGGTACAGGTTTTAGCTTCATTCCTCACTGGTACTGAGTTCACTGGAATGTTTCTAACACTTTTGCATTTTATGGACATACTTGACAAAGAGGTTACAACATGATCATGACACAGTTCTGGTAGAGACTAGGAACAGATGTCAGTGGACTCAGGTCTTAAAAATATATTTCAGTACCTCTAAAATTGCTTAGGGAATAGATTTCTATGGGTTGTGTTCAGAGCTGGATCTGACTATTCCGAAAATGTCATTTTCATGTGCCTTTTCTAAAATACCAGATGTTTCTCTATGGGTAATGGTTACCTTCCACTCAGGGGTCTCAAAACTATGCTTTGCTGGGGGGAGGGAACAGAGGACCTGGCTGACAGATGTTTTTGTTCACAGTTTATGCATACAGAGCAAGAGAAATATGAAGTGAGTAATGAGGATTAACTATTCAAAATCTGAGCCTGCAGCTTACATACAGAAAGACAAATCCTGGCTATTCTGTCCAACAGTAAATTTGCATGTTCCAAGCTGTGTTTAAAAATGTTATCTGGCTGCTACTATGTAGGTAACAGAGATGTGGTATAATACGATGTGCATGCTAAGCAGCTACTTTGAGGGTTAAGCTCTTAGAGTAATGGTTACTAAAGCATACAGTGATTTTATAGCATCTCACAAAGTCCAAGTTCCTGTAACTAAACTGTCACAACTGCAAAAAGTTCCTCCATGATGATAAGAACTGTTTTTACTTAGCTGGTTTTTGTCAACCGTAAGTTGTACCAGACAAAGGCATTGATAACCAGGGTAGGAAAGAAGAAAAACAGCCCGTCTTTTGTAGCAACCTGAGATGTTGCATAGAAAGTGGCAAGGAATTTTCCACTGAAATGAGCCATTCTTTGTTGCCCATGGAATTACTTGGAAAGTGAATGGAAACTTTTTGCATCCACTAGTTTGTTTGTTTGGAAACTTATGTTGAATCATTACAGACAACCAGTCTCTGAAGAGGTTTCCAGAAGGAGGAAATACAATTTTTTACATAAGATACTTTGGACCAAACAAGATGTTAACACTTCGACTAGGCTTTGGTGGGGCATCAAGATGCTATTAGGATAAGTTCAAAAAAACACTAACTAGTTTGAGTCAGGTGAAGCCTCTCAGTAGGCAGTTATGGGCAGCTTTGCTATTCTGGCATGCAGCACCACTACTGTGAGAATAAATACACACTTACACTCTGTATAACCCAAATTTTATATACTGGGCAATGAAATTTCCCCAAAACAGACCTTCTCCCTGATATATTCAACTCCTATTTCCACATAAAAGCACTCTGTTGTCGTCAGGCAGATTGTCTCCTGCAGGCTTAGTCACTGGAGGACCTTATTCTGCAACATACAGAGCAGCTCTTTGGTGATACTGGGAAGTCTTATTTCATGACCTCTGAAGACAACAGCTAAAATACTGATGATGAACATGTTGAAGAATAGGGTCTTTCATCTCTTTCTGCTCCCAAGGGAAGCAGGTAAGGGTCTCAGTGTGTCCCCATGGGTGCTCAGCATCCCTAAATATCAGACCCACCATGAGAAAACAGGCTACAGGGTAGCTGCATACTGCCTTTGCCAGGGTTGTGAGCAATTGTCTGCCTTGCATAAGAGAACAAAGCATCTGCCTGCTGGGAACCTAGATTTGTACAGTTCGGCAAATATATATAGGAAGAGGTCAAGTTTTTCCATTTTGTCTAGGATTAGATGTTCTCTGTCAAAAGTTATATGGGATTTTACAAGGCAAGACAGTGAACTCTACTGACAAACGGAATGGTAAATATATAACTTCAAATACAGCCACGCAGATCTGAGTCATGTGCTTTATTCCATTCTTAGTGTAAAAACAAGAGAATGTTTGTATTAAAGCAAAGTTTAATGGGACTGAAAATTTCCCACAATATAGAAAGAGATAAAAAATATATGTTTAAAATGTGATATTTACAGGTAATGTCCTTCCTCCATTCATTTAGCTGAGGTAAGATTTCATAACAAAATACAAGTTTAAGCAATATTTCTAGCCTAATCCACCATAATCCACTGAAGTTTTTTATTGAACATGTGAGAATTTGAAGTTAAAGAAATATATTAGTACTGCCTCTGAAATATCTTTCTCCATGTTTTTTTCCTTTCTTTTCTGCTAATTAAGCAGAGAATGAAATGGAAATGGATTAATTGGACATTTTAAAAATAAGAATTTGTCCATTTAAAAATGAAAATTTTATGTGCATTTTTTTTTTTAAAGTGGTTTTTTTCATACACTATAGTTTTGCCAGTAGACATCTACTGCTTATTTGATCAAAGACAGCATGACAGCAGCTTCAAGCTTTTTATGCAGATACCATGCCCAGGCCAGAGAATTACTGGGGCTTTATTTTCGTTCAGCTCATGTGGTCTCTTCTGATGGCCACTAGAACTTGTAGGACCAGTGCTGATCTTGGAACAAGCAGGAATAATCACATTGCTTTCCAGAGACAGCATCTAGTCCTGGGTCTGAATTTGGCTTCAGGATACCATAGCTTGGGGTGTGATTCCAAGCCATGACCCAGAGATCAGAGCTTCTTTCTGTCCTTGCTACCTTTAGAACACCTCTGGGTCAAAATCCCATTTTGCTTCCTCCAAACAATGCATGTAGTTGTAGTGGAGCTCTATTTGTGGGTTTACTGCCTGGTCTTATTGAATTCAATTACTACCTGTTTCTTGGTCCCACAGTATGGGTGGCAGGGCATATATTAATGTTTGAAGAAAACCAATGATTTGGACATTCAGAGAAGGCTCCTAAGATACATAAAATTTATTTTTAGAATAATATTTGTCATAGTGCTACAGTGGAGTTTACCTTCTTTTAAGAAACAATGTGATACACAGATCAACTGTACACAAGGCAATTTTGTGTTGCTTTATTTAAATGTCTATTGTCATAAATAGCATTTTTACAGTCATACAAGCTGATCATTGCAAAGCCTTTAATAGAAAATTGGGAGTTTTAATCAGTGTGCAGTTTGTCCTTCTGGAACACTAAACAATAGCTGGTCCTTTGCCTACAACCGAACAAGTGGGAGTGTGTTCAGGGTGTGTGTCCCTCGGGGCCGGTATTGTGTTGATCTGCATTCTGCAGAAATGTGGTGGTCTTCCACAGGCAGTTTCTCCCCATCCAAACAAACCTCTCTGCAGTGCTGGCTCCAGTAACTATTTATCATGTTGGAATTAGCAGAGTGACAGCCACTGTGACCTCGTCTCAGCATTTCTCCTGGTACATAGCGAACTGTTTGCAGAGAGAGCTCCTGCTCTTGATTGGGGTGGTGGAATCGAACCTTCCGTCATCCATCCTATGTAAGCTGTTAAGTTGATGCATACAGGTAAATTGCCAGTTCTTGCAGCACAGGCCTGGGATTTTGCATCTCTGTGTAATTAATACCTTTCACACTAAAGGTGCTGTAGAGATGGGTTAGAAATGGGTGACTGTCAGACCTCAAAGGCACTTCCAGCCTGATTTTCATGAGTATTTAGGGACTGATCTATTTATATGCAGAGCACAATCTGCACTCAGAAACTTGACTCTCAACATGCCAGTAAAGCCATATTGCTAGACAATGCAGTTCTGAGATGGGAGATTTTCTGAGTCTTGAAAGGTTTCTGTGTAAGTTTCTAATATCAATCATATTAAAACTTGTAGAGGCGTTTCCTAATATGTAAACTAGAGGAGTTTTCTTGACACATTCTCAACATGCAGCATGGGGCATCAGCTGCAAAGCAGCTCTTGCTGAGCCCATTTCTGCTCTGCAGCCAGTCTGAACACGCAATCCCTACTGGGATGACTGTCAGCAGGTTTGTTATTTCTCTGGTACTCTGGGCCATTTGAGTCTAGTCTTCAGGAACAACACAGAAAGCAGATCTAGAATTCACTTTTAACACTCTCTGGCAACCTTTCATCAGTAAATGTTACCTTCAATTTATCAGTCCTCTCAGTGAAGGAATTCCAGGCCCTGTATATCTTTACTGGGCAAGGAGATCCAGCTATGGTTGGTTTTTAAATCACAGATTATTTTCTGTTCAGAACAGTTGCATGGATTAGCCCTGACTATCCTATTGCTAGATGCATGAAAAGTGTTTATGCTTAATGTTTTTACTTACAAACACTGAACCATGCATAGGTGTATATACATTACGCATTTGTTCGCAAGAGCAGGTCACAGAATGCACAAACATAGCAAGATATTCATTTGAGATCTACTTAGAGGAGCTCTCTGTCTTTCCAGCACCTCATCCATATTTTCTGCCTCAAGCCTATTGTTGCAATTTAAAACTCCTTCCATTCTTTAGGAGAGG